AAACATTTGTGAAACAATAAATATTGAAGTCGGTTGTAACCCACTATGAATCTTGAAAATTGAATAGTTCAGTCACTTTCTTGCTTACTGTGGTAGCATGTGCTCTCCGTGCATCAAGCAAGTGGCATGCAATGGGAAGGGCCAGTGAGCCTTCAAGGGGGCAGTGTGTCTCTGTGACCAGTTTATGTTATATGTGTTACATGTCTCTTTCCATTTTCCATCTGGTTACTAGATGAAGGTTTGAGGAGAGATGATTGATAGATATGAGGTGAAGAGAGGAGGACAGAGGTACAATTTGGGCCTACACAATTTAAATGTAAATGCAGAGTAGTTTACACCTTGAACTGATCAGTAATTGATCATGTTTGCTGTGACTGATGGCTAGAACACAGTGGGTAAGAGCCAGGCTGCTTTGGTTTGAATCCCGTCTCTGCCACTAGTTTTGTGACCTTAGGTAAGTTACTCAACTTTTGTGTGTCTCAGTTGTCTTCATGTAGAAAATAGAGATGCACCTACCTCTCACATCATTGTCAGTGTTAAATCAGATAATGCATGTAGAGTGCCTAAGACAAGGTCTGGTACATAGTACCAGCTATGTAAATGTTTATTCTTATTGTCATTTTTATAGAGACAGCTATTAACAGCGTGTTTTAGGAGGATGGACAGAATCCTGGGTATTACAGCATTTTGGCAAACAGATTTTTCATCAAAAGGTAGTAAGTGGCATAAGGGTGGTACTATACAGAGATTTTAGAGCTCACTTTAGGACCTATTGCTGGGGCCCAAAGAGGGCAAAGAAGAATCTAGTCCTAGATCTGCAGACCAATTGATTTGGTACTTCCAGCTTAATCCCTGAAGATGATCTTGTTTCGTTAGAATGGTCTGTGTCTGACCAGTGCTAGTATGTTGTTGTTATGTGCCGTCGAGTCGGCCCCAACTCATAACGACCCCTCCTTCAGTTTCCGAGGCGGGATCACTACGGAAGTAGATTGCCCCACCTTCCCTCCGAGGAGTGGCTGGTGGGTTTGAACCGCCAGCCTTCTGGTTAGCAGTCAAGTGCCTTAAGCACTACGCCACTAGAGCTCTCCAGTGCTAGTATAGTCTTCTTAATTTAAACATCATATAACCACCACCCAGATCAAGATACAAAAAATGTACAGTTCCTTCCATGTAATAATCCCTGACAGAGTTCCATGGTCGTATTTTGCTGAGCTATAGCACCATACGTATGTTTTTCCTAATTATGAAATTTATAGGAATGGAATCGTATGTGTCATACGATATGTGTCATACAGAACCCTTTGTGTCTGGTGAGATTCATCCATGTTGTTGTAATAGCTGTTTTTTTATTGATAAATACTGTTCCATTGCATGGATCAGGAGCTCTGGTGGCACTGTGGTTAAGGCATTGAGCTGCAAACCAAAAGGTTGGTGGTTTGAACCCACTAGCTGCTCCATGGGAGAAAGATACTACAGTCTGGTTCCATAAAGATTTATAGCCTTAGAAACCCTATAGAGGTCACTGTGAGTTGGAATCAACTTGATGGCAGTGTGTTTGGTTTGGGGGTTGGTATTGTATGAATAGACTACAAAGTATCTGCATCCATTTTCTGTGGCTTTATTTTTGGATTCTCTGTTTTGTTCTATTTAGCTATTTGTCTTTCTTTATGTCAGTGTGACACAGTCTTGATTCCTCTTGCTTTATAAAGCTCTTGAAATTAGGGAGAGTAAGTCTTCCTCTCCAAAATTGTCTTCATTATTTTAGGTCCTTTGCATTCCCATTTATGTTTTAGGACAAACTTGTTATTTTTCACCTCTGCAGGTTTGATTTGGGTCTTTTTATATGTTGTTCACGTGTGTCAGCATGTGTGTGCTTCCTTTACCTTTTTGAACATATGCAGTATATTTATAATTAAAGTATTTATTCTGTTTACATACCATGTACATACTGATAGAATAGGATTTAAATGTGCCATCTCAGTCTTTCCTTTTTATATGCCCATCCTTTGTTCCTCTTTTTCTTTCTTTTCTTTGATTGGTTAAATATTTTTAAAATTATTTCATTTTATTGCCTTATTGGTTTTTTAGTTATAGGCTTTTGTAATTTTAGTAGTTAGAGTTAACTGCTCTCAAGAAGGCTGGTGGTTCAAACCCACCAGGCACTCCTTGGAAGGAAGATTGGGCAATCTACTTCTGTAGAGATACCGCCTCGGAAACCCAAGGAGGGGTCGCTATGAGTCGGAACCGACTCGAGGGCAGTGAGTTTTGTTTTTTGGTAGAGATTACAATATACATTCTTAATTTGTTATATCCTGTCAACATATAGTACTTTGCTGTATTCCAAATGCTGTAAGAACTTTATAACATTATAATTCCATTTTCCTTCTCTCTTAGGTTTTGTGCTACTATTACATGTATTTTACCTCTATACTCAAGCTTAAAGCAGTTATTTGTATTTTTATATTCACCTACTTTTCTTTTATTCTTCATTACTTTCTGCATTATTGTGTTTCCGTTTAGTAGTATTTCCCTTTAAATTGAGAAGTTCCTTTATTATTTCAACTTTCATTTTTTGGAAATCTTTTTCATCTTTATTTTTTGAAAGATATTTTCTTTGAACATGTTTTTTTTTTCTTTGTAATATTTGCAGTCTATGTCTTTTAATGCTTTAAAAATGGCATTCTATTTTCATTTGGCTTCTGGAGATTCTGTTGTGAAGACCTCTGTCCTTATTCTAGTTTCTAGAAGGTAATGAGTTCCTCCCAGCTTCTAGCTGTTTCGAAGAGTTTTGTTTTTCTTTTTTTATTTTGTTTTCAGCTGTTTAACTTTAATGTGTGTAATTATTTTTATGTTTATTCTCTTTTGGGTTAACTGAGCTTCTAAAATATGTGGATTGATGTCTTTCATCAGTAATGGAAAAATCTGGCCACTTTGTCTTCAAATATTGCTTCTTTTCCTTTCTGTCTCTTCCTTCTTGGACTTCAGTTACATATATGTTAGATTATTTGTGTTCCATGTGTCTCTTATGCTCTGTTCTCTTTCTTTTAACCTATTTGTACTTTTGTTGGAATATTTTCTATTGACATGTCTTTGAGGTTACTAATCTTGTCTTCTGCTATGTGCAGTCTGCTGTCAAGCCTATTCAGTGAGTTCTTATATTGATATGTTGTATTTTTCAGTTTTAATGTGGTTTTTTATATAGATATTAATCTCTAATTAAAGCTCTTCATCTTACATTTATAATGTTGTTGTTGTTGTTTGCCATCGAGTCAGACCTGACTCATAGCGACCCCTCCTTGGGTTTCTGGGGCATTTTAAAATCCTTCTCTGAGAACTCCTACATCTGGATCATTTGAGGATTTGCATCTGTTGGCTATTTTACCCCTGATTATGGGTTACATTTCTTTTAAGAAATGTTTTGTAAAGTTTGATTACATACAGTATATCATGTATTAAAAAAACTTCAGTTACTGAGGTTGATGTTATTTTCCCACAATGAGAGTTCCTTCTTACCTGTGTTAGGCACATAGGTGAGGGGCTGACCACCAGTCTAAAATTGAGCTGGGCTGGGGTATGTTGCAGTTCTGAGTAAACTCAGCGTATGGGACTTTCCCAAGGGGAGCATTGTCGCGCATTTGTTACAGGCTCTTCCCCTAGCTAGAATTTGTCTCACACCTGGTGAAACTGTAAAATATTTTACTTTGCCTTTTCATCCAAGGCTTTGGTGCTACCCCAGCATTTGGTGAATATGATGTGGGACCTCATATAAGGCAGTTGTACAGAGTAGAAACAATTCAATCGCAAACACTTGGAGCCACTTCCTTTTTGTCCACGATAACAAATGACCACCAAATGGGTGGCTTAAAACAACAGAAATGTATTCCTTCCATTTACTAGTTCCTGGTGCTTCCAGGCGTTCCTGTGCTTGTGGCCACATCATTTGCTGGCTCTGCCCCAATCTTTACCTTCTCTTCTGTGTGTAGTCAAATTGCCTTTTGTCTCTGTCTCATGAGGACACTTGTAATAGAATTTAGGACCCTTTCTCCATGTAAAGGCACATTCACAGGTTCTAGGGGTTAGGATGTGGACATATCTTTGGGGCCACCATTCAGTCCACTACAGAAGTTTAGGACTCACGAGCCCCCCATGGCTCCTCATAGGAACACACAGCTACTGATGGATGAAAGATGCCATCAGGCCAGACATCTTGCCTTTGTCATTCTCACAGGGATTTAAAAAATCCATTTCTTGTTCTCTTCTCCTATACCTATCATAGTCTACCCGCCATAGCCCCAAGGGATGCTTTGGGAAGGTATAACAGCTTTTCTTTATAGCTAACTGGTTTGAAACAAGTGATTGTTCAGTGTTCAAATACTGATTTCAGTCTTGATTTTCCTCTTTTGGCTATAGTCTATGCTATAACTGCTACTATGTGTTTAAATCAACATCAAATACATAGTGGACACTTGTTGAACATTGACCGTATAAATCAATCCTGGATTTGCTTGATCAGCTTTCCATGTATCTTGTTGTTGTGATGTGCCGGACCAAACTCATAGTGACCCCTCCTTGGGTTTCTGAGGCAGTATCACTACAGAAGTAGATTGCCCAACCTTCCATGTATCTTAGGCTTTCTTAATTTTGCCTTCTTTTGTGGGAGAATTTTTTTGAATAATTCCCACAGAATCTGCTTGCTGCTGTTTATGTTCTATTTTTTTAATACAGTGTGTGAAATATTGTATTCTCTCATTTTTCCTGTTTCATGTCACTTACCTTAATAATGTGTTTTAAATCAATGCAGTGGTGTCTTGTATTCAAAGATACTTGTTAGATTTTATTATTACAATTATTCTCTTGTTTCCTATGTTAACTTTGTTTTCTCAAGAACTATTTACTCTCACTGCTTAACTTTTTCTCCTCCTTTTTAACCTCTGCTTGCCTTCGTATGACTTACTCACTGTGTATATTATGTCTAGAAATAATCTGTTTGGGTACTTAGTACATACTTAGCAGTTAGCTCCATGTTAAATTTTTCCTCTCTCGTATAATGCCTTTAACCCCCACTTTCACACACTGTCCTGGTGGTCTGCCTCAATTGAAACCCAGGGGCTATTCCATCCAGGACACTTGTAGAAGTCGTTGGAGAGAAATGTGCAGTTACAGGAGTTTTTTTTTTTTTTTTCTTAAACAAACAAAAATTTATTTAGGTGGAACATAAGTATTGAAAAGTGCATCAATCATAAGTGTATAGTTTCATGTATTTTCATAAAGTGAACATGCCTATCTTAGTGTGAGTTTTCTAGAGGAGCAAAATCAGTGAAATGTATATATAAATATATAGAGGGAGATTTCTTTCAAAGAAATGGCTCGTACAATTGTGAGGGCTGGCAAGTCTCAAATCTGTGGGTTAGACAGCAAGTTGAAGACCTCTGCTGGCTCACATGGTTGCAGGGGTTGGCAAATCCAAAATCTGCAGGTCAGGTGGCAGGCCAGAGACTTCTGCAGGCTTATGTCCCAAGATCCCAACAAGAAGGGTGTAGGGTTGAGGGAAGGAGAGAGGGCTGTGCCAGAACTTCCATGTATACAACAGGCAGACCACACCCCCAAGGAAACTACCCTTTCAGCTGATTGGCTGCTCATATTAAATCACATCATGGGGGTGATTACACTGTATTACATCATAGAAGAGTGATCAGTCCAGTGTCTGCCAAACCAGAGAATTGTAGCCCAGCCAAGTTGACATATAACATTAACCATCACAACATCCATGGGATTGATACCCTGATTAAAACCAGAATATGACCAGTGCCCTAGAAGCTCACCTTCTTCCCTCTTCTAGTCACTGCTCCCTTTCTCTAGTTACTACTACACCCTTACAGAGGATGTGCTCTGTCTGTGTCAAGCTGCTTTTGCTCACATTCATGTTTGTGACATTCATCTGCATTGCTGTGTGCACTGGTAAATTGTTAATTCTCAGTGCTATATCATATTCCATTGTGTGAATATGTCCCAGTTTGTTTATATTCTACAACTGATGAGTATCTAGGTAGTTTTTGGTTTTGAGGTATGATGAATATTTCTCTTAGAAACATTTTTGTATGTGTCTTTTGGTGAATGTGTATGTGTTTCTGTTGGATATACCTATAGAAATCAAACACGCTTTTATGGTTCAGAAATCCCACACATATGTTGGGCATTGCCTCAGCAGAGGAGAAAAAGTGGGCAGCCCTTCCAGTAGGCTAATACTAATTATGATGGGCCAGTAACAGTCTTACTTTGGAAAACTTCTGATTATGAATGGCCAGTTTCTACTTGTGAAGAGAGGACAGGGACAAAGGACACTGGTCTTTCAGAGAATTCACAAAAGAGATATTTTCACAGTGTTACTGCAGGGCAATCATTTTGTCAATGCCAGAGATCAAACAAGCCATTCTTTTTTTTGCCTAGTCTGTCACCTTCAAAACAACCAGCAGAAATCTTGCCCGAGCCATGTGTATGAAGAATCTCAAGCTCACTATTATCATCATCATTGTATCAATCGTAAGTTTTTGGCCTTTTAATGTATTTTTTTCCAACTCTAAAAAATTGGCTGCTGATCTCCTTGATTAGTGTTAATTGATTCCATTTTCTATTTTCATATTTCTGTTGTTATTTTTCAATTTATCTATTTTCTGTCTGGTGATCTTGCATAACTTTTATTAGATCTAATACTTCATCACTCTGTAGTTATGCTGTAGGTCAGGCAGGAATCAGCAAATATTCTGTAAAGGGTCTAACCAAAAACCAAACTCACTGCTGTCAAATCGATTAGACTCATAGCAACCCCTCCTTGGGTTTCCAAGGCGGTATCCCTATGGAAGTAGATTGTCCAATCTTCCTTCTGTGGAGCGGCTGGTGGGTTTGAACCACCAGCTTTTTGGTTTGCAGTCAGATGCCTTAGGCACTATGCCACCAGAGCTCCCCAGATAATAAATATTTAATGTTTGTGGGCCAGATATGATTTCTGTCACATATTTTTCTTTTTTAAAAAACAACCCTTTAAAAAGGTAGAAACGATTCTTAGCTCACAGGCTGTGGTCTGTAGTTTGCTGAGCCCTGCTCCAGGTAAATTATGCCATCTGTTAATAATTTTATCTCATCAAATTATATATGTATATATATGTGGAATAACTGTGGTGTTGATGGGCATTTTTACATATGTCTTCATTTTAATGGGAATGCTTCCAAATTCTACTATTTTTAAGAATGCTGTGTATTATGAATTCTTGTTAGATTTGCATTGTCGACTTTATACTTTCATTCCTGCATTATTAACAATTTTTATCGGGGATGGGTATTCAATTTTACAAGATGATATTCCTTCATACATTGAATGGATAATGTGACTATGTACCTTAAATATTAATGTATTGGAGTGCATTAACAAATATACTATGACAAACTATCCTTTGGTTACTGGGATAAATCCTAATGGATCATATGTGGTATTCTTGTAATACATGATAAGGCTGTTTTAAAAAACCACTGCTGTTGAGTCAGATCTGACTCATAGCGACCCCTCCTTGGGTTTCCGAGGCAGTATCACTACAGAAGTAGATTGCCCAACCTTCCTTCCAAGGAATGGCTGGTGGGTTTGAACCGCCAGCCTTCTGGTTAGCAGTCACATGCCTTAGGCACTGCACCACCAGAGCTCCCAAGTCTGTTTACTAATATTTACTTTATATGAATTGGGAGAAGTGACTGTGGTGCTCTTTAGGGAACTTGGAATGTTTCCCTGTGTGGTCAGACTATCTGGGAATCTTCATAATGGTCTAAGGCACTGGTTTTCAAAGTATGATCTGTGAACTTGTCAGAATTTATGAAATCACTACTATTTTCCTTAATAATACAAAGACGTGATTTTCATTTGTCACTGTGTTAATGTTTATACTGATGGTGCAAAAGCAATGGTAGATAAAACTGGTGCACCTTAGTGTGTGAATCAAGGCAGTGACACCAAACTCTCTAGTAGTCATTGTCTTCTTTATCGCACACACTCAGGGTAAAAGAAAATGCCAATTTCATTTAAGACTGTCCTTGATGAAGCAGTGTAAAGTCTGATTAAATCTTGAGGAAAAGTAATTGTGCAATTGTTTGACTTTTGAGCACTTTTTCCATGGAAACCCCATTGTCACTTGAAAGAATGACAAAGTATGTCTTTTCAGACTTGGTTACCTAGCAGGCATTTTCTCAAAAAGGGACAAATTGAGCAAGTCATTTCAAGGAAAAAATGACAGTATTTGTTGCCAATAACAAAAATCAAGCTTGCAAGCAAAAAGTGGAAATTTGGAAAATTTGTGTTTTTCATTTAGAAGATTAACATAACTTTTAAAGAATCAGTGTTTTCTAGATGACCACCCCATTGTAGTACAAAACCTTGCACAGGAAAAGATCCACTTAAAGTTAGTTGTTTTTGACTCATGACAGAGCACAGCTGCCCCACAGGGCTTTCTAGGCTGTAGTCCCGGGGGGGCGGGTCACCAGGTCTCTCCTGTGCAGAATCCTGGGTTGGTTCCAACGGCTGACTTTTTGGTTCGTGGCTGAGCACTGAAGCTGTTGCATCACCAGGTCTCCTTTAAAGGGCAAGATAGAGGGTGGATTTCAGTATCACCTCATTAAAAAAGGTTCATTGGTAATGGTTTCAGATATTGCAGCTAACCTTTAATATCTAAAAAGGCAATTAAAAATACTTCTCTCTCTTCTAAATACCTATCTGTGTGAAGTCAGATTTTCTTGAATGAAAGCAACAGACTGAAGCAGAAGCATATAGGAGAAGCCAGCGGTCTTTTATTAAACCAGACATTAAAGAGATTTGCAAAAATACACAAAAATACCAGTCTTCTCATTAGTTTTTATTACTATTATTTTGGAAAACTATGTTAGTCTGGGTTCAGCCAGAGAAACAGAACCAGTATAGGAGCTCTGGTAGCATAGTGGCTAAGGCACTTGACTGCTAACCAGAAGGCTGGCGGTTCAAACCCACTAGCCACTCCTCGGAAGGAAGGTTGGGCAATCCTACTTCCGTAGTGATACTGCCTCGGAAACCCAAGGAGGGGTCGCTATGAGTCAGGGCTGACTCGACGGCACATAACAACAACAACAGGAGGTAATATATTAAGAGATTTTTAGGTAAGGAATTAATTGGCTTATGCGATTGTAGGGACTGGCTAGGCAAGTGTGAAATCAGCTGGTCAGGAAGGGTAGGCTGTAATTCCAGGGCAGGAGTGAGGCTGCTGTCCACAGGAAGCATTTCTTCTTCCTCTGAGGAACCTCAGTTTTGTTCAATAGACTGACTGAACCACTCAGACTGTGTAGGGTAGTCTCCCATACTTCATGTCACCTGACTATGGACTTTCATCACATCTACAGTACACCTTCACAGCAACATCTAGATTCGTGTTTGATTGAATAACACGGGTCTGTAGGCTAGCCAGGAGCTCTGGTGGTGGTGTGCTTAAAGCATTCAATTTCTAACCAGAAGGTCAATGGGTCAAACCCACCAGCAGCTCCATGGGAGAAAGATGAGACAATCTGCTCCCGTAAAGATTGGCAGCCTTGGAAACTGTTCTCCTCTGTCCTTTAGGGTCACTATGACTTGGAATTGCTTGACGGCAGTGAGTTTGGTTTGGCTTTGGGCAGCCTACCCAAATTGACACATAAAACTGACCACCAAAATAGTTTTTTTAATACAAATTTTCTTTCCTTTTATATATGTAATGGGTTTATCATTATTACTTTTAACTGAATTAAATATATATTAACTCTTTTCTATTTTAATTTCGAAAATGGTAAATGCTGAGAATTATAACCCACCTAAGCAAGAGGGAGCTTTTTGGGGTCCTCAGTAAATTTGAAGAGTGTAAAAAGTGAGAACTGCTGGTCTTCTAAGGGGGGAAATGCTTTACTCTGGGGGTAGTTCATAGTTGGGTAAAGCTGCCTTTCCCCCCATCTTTGTCATTGGCAGAAGCCCAAAGTTATCTCCAAGCAGATATCTCAAACTCTGCTTCACCTCATCTCAACCTCCAGTGATTGCTAAGAGTCCCTCAAAGCAGGTCCTTTACTTCGGACGGAGAAGAGCAGCTGTAGACACAGAGGTGTAGTGTTGGAAATAGTTGCCATAGCCTTACTTGTTTCCTTTGCTTAGTATCCTCAGATGGTACCTTCTAGGCTCCTGGGCTTAAATTCTTCCTTCTCTTTTGATCTGGCAATTTATATTTATTTGTGAAACTGGATTTTTGTTCAGTTCAGAATATATTTATGGTTTATTTGTTATATGTAGGATACGGTCGAAATGCAATATCTTATTTTTGACATTAGATTGATACTTCAGCTTGAAAAAATGTTACATTTCAGCTGTAGCAGATAGTCACCTTTTTACCATGTGGGTAAACCCTGCACTTGTTGAATACCTGTATGTGTGTGTGTATGTGCATGTATGTATAAGTATGATTTCAGTAGTTTACCCTATACATTAATACCCAGATTTGATGTAACTAACTCACTCCAGCATTTCTAGAGAAGTAAGACAAAACACTACAGATTTCTTTTGCGGGGAGCATGGAATTCCTAACTATATTTTTCCCCAAGGATGTGAGTAATGAAATCAGTCATCATCGTTGTTGGTATGTGCCATCGAGTCGGCCCCGACTCATAGCGACCCCTCCTTGGGTTTCTGAGGCGGTATCACTACGGAGGTAGATTGCCCAACCTTCCTTCCGAGGATCCACCAAAATTGTAGTTTAAGGCAAAATAAAATGACTAATTTTAGTGCTCGGAAGGAAGGTTGGGCAATCCTACTTCCGTAGTGATACTGCCTCGGAAACCCAAGGAGGGGTCGCTATGAGTCGGGGCCGACTCGAGGGCATATACCAACAACCAATTTTAGTGCAGTGAACCTAAGGTTCACTATTTAAAATGAATATATTTAATGCTTAAAATGTTCAAATGAATCTACTTTATGGAGTGCAATACTGTGAGCAAGTATATACTATTTAAAAAATTATACTTTGAAATTACAATAATAGAGTTGAAAAATGTACCACATGATCTGTAATCAAACTAACATCATCAGTTTTCCTTTGATTTGTAATCATAATTACGATGTCATTATCCACTGAAAGGTTCATGGCAACATTCTTGCTTATAATGTCATACACAACCCCTACTCATGTGTTTGCATATATCCATATCACTCTAATAATTAAAAATATATCAACATATGAAATGTCCCAAAAATGTAGTCAATAATAAAATCTTAGTTTGAAGAAGTGATGGTAATTTGCAATCTTTATGACTGTTAATGACACATCAGTAAGAGTTGCTCTCACACAGCCTCTTTCTGCCTCACCTCTCCTTCCAGGTGTTCATCTATATCATTGTGTCTCCTGCCTGTGGTGGATTTACATGGCCAAGCTGTGTAAAGAAATAAGAAAGAAATGTTATTAACCAAGGATCGGTGAGAACAAGGAGTTACAAGTGACCCATGTGACTCTGACCTTTCGTTGCTGACAGGTGGTAGCTGTCAGCCCCTTCAACCCTCTTCTCACTTTTTCATTTTTTGATCTTGTTCTGTGCCTCCAGATTTCTCTCTGCCCCATCAACCAGTTTATCTCAGTGCACTTCAAACTGAATCACCATTTCAGCAGTAGCCTTAAAAAAGGCTTTTGTTTGTTTTGGTTTGTCTAACTAGGGTCGTCTGTTTAGAGAGACATTTTTGTTTTTAATTGCACAAAGCTATCTGTCTACTAAAGCTGAGGATCTTTGTATGTGCACACAGTATTCAAGAGACAGTATTGCTCATCTCATCTTAATGTCTTTTTGTTATTGACAAGTTTTAGGTGCTTTGAGACAATATAATAGTGAATAGTGGTTATTTTAGGAACTGAAATTAGATTGTTGGTGCTGCTGGTTTCTAGAAGCCCAGACCAGATGGGGGCCATTTTGCTAGCCCACGTAGAAGCACACACAATTATCCTCTGTCCTCTTAGTATTCACTTTCAGGAGTAAAATTCAGCGTGTTGATGGTTCAAAAGACAACGAATGGTTCTATCTCCCCTATTTCCACATTGCGGTTAATATGAGAAGATGATAATTTAAACATTGTTTGAAGATTGTGTTTTTTGTTTTGTTTTCTTCTTCTTCATTCAGTGGGTATTTAGGGCAACTGTAATGTTCATAGAATGGGTAGTGGAGGGGGATAGGGAGGCACATTGCTATAATTCATCAGAGAAAAAGCAGAGAATCACAGCGGCTGTGCTCCCATTTAGCCATACAAAGGGAGGTAGTGTGGGAGATTTTTTTCCATTCTGGGAGAAGCCCAAAATCAATACAGTCAAGTCCATCATTTTTGGCTTTGACTGCTGTGGAGTAATAGCTTGAGCATCCTTTATGGTGTAACAAGTTCTTTAATCTGCCTGTTTTGAAGAAATTTTTTGTGAAACATGAAAGAGTAGACATTATAATGCATAGGTACCACACAAAATAGTTTAACTAACATTCATTTAAATGCACTATAAGAAAAATGATCTGTAATCATACTGTTTAAGCTACTCTGAGATCTGTTATAAAGAGGTGATTTTGGTGTGTATCTGAAAGGAAGACATTTGCTGCCCTAATCTAATTGCATTGATTTATCGGTAAGTGCCGTTAAGTGGAAATGATACTACATTTGCCCATTTTCCCCAAGGAAGGAACCAATTAGTGTCTAGAACCTCGCTGCCTGTTTAGCCTAGTCATGTGCCTTGAATATAGATGTGTCACAAAATCTGGCTCATGGTGCCTGCTCTTCCATCTGAACCTTTCAATTCATGCTACCTGGTTCATTTATTTCAAAAATACCTTGAGACTCTTGTGTTGATCATGCATAGCATAAATGTTTCCCCAGACGTCTTTATCAACACTAAATGCATTTTAGTTGAATCAGCATTTCCTATTGGAAAACACATTTGTTGCAGAAAAACATTTGGCACTCCTAGATAATAATTTCTAAATGTCTTTAATCCAAAGAAAAAAGCTTAAAGCTGACTTCCCTTTCTTATACACACCTGGATAAAATTGATGTGCATGTTTTAGGGATCAATTACGTAACTGTTCCTTGTTCTATTTATGCATAAGAATGCTTTTGAAAGCACATGTTTTGTTTTAAATAATGCACAAACTGAAGACGTTAATAAAACTTAAAAGTAATACAGTGACTCGCTTGTTTAGATGTTCGTCCTGGAATCTTGTTTCTTCTGATGACATTTTGCTGTAGTTTTCAGAATAACAGTAGTTGACTTATGCTGAACATACATTCAGATGCACATCAAGAAGCCAGAAGAAAAAAGCTACACAGTGCATGATATGTATAAGAACAGGTGTCAGGGATTCGTAGTCAAGGGACGGTTTGACTTAAAAGGGATAGCATAAGGGAGGTCTTTGGAGGAAAGAGATGTACTATTCTGTACCTCCTGGAGCTCTGGTAGTGTAGTGCCTAAGGCACTTGACTGCTAACCAGGAGGCTGGCGGTTCAAACCCACCAGCCACTCCTCTGAAGGCAGGTTGAGCAATCTACTTCTGTGGTGATACTGCCTCAGAAACCCAAGGAGGGGTCGCTATGAGTCGGGTCCGACTCCACGGCACATAACAACAACAACATTCTGTACCTCCATTGTGCTACTGTTTATAAAGTGTAATGCATTTGTCAATCCACATTCCAGAAGTCAATTACTATTTTGAAATTTTGAGGAGAAAAACATCCACTGCTGACAATTTAATATTCTTATGTGTGGACAGCATTCATCTAACAACTGTTTTCCTGGTGGACACAGACTTTCATGGTTTCCACTTTCTGTCACTACAATCAACAGGAAACATGTTGCTTAGAGATTTATCTGGAATAATTCTACAAGGGGAATTGCTAGATCAGGGGAAGGTCTAATAGGAAGGCTTCTCCGTCTAAGGTATAACTATTGGTCTCTCCCAATCTGGAGCAAAGGAGAGAGAATAAAATCAAAGATGCATGGAACACGGAAAAGAACTATCCAAGGTCTGCCTTCATGACCTTGAGACTAGGAGAAGTTCATGGTGCCCTGCTATCAATGTCTGCCTGTCTGAAAGGGATCGCAATAGGAGATCCTGTATAGAGTGGAACAAAAATGCGGAACAAAACTCAAAATAATAAAAAGGACCAGGCTTACTACTCTGATACAGACTGGTGGAACCCCTGAGACTATGGCCCTTCAAGCCTGGAACTGAACTCACCCTGTGACTCAACTTTCAGTCAAACAATTGTTATTGTTGTTGTTATGTGCCGTCGAGTCAGCCCCGACTCATAGCGACCCCTCCTTGGGTTTCCGAGGCAGTATCACTACGGATAGTAGGATTGCCCAACCTTCCTTCCAGGCCTATAAGGTGAACAATAACATCAGGAGGTACAGAATCCTTAGTGAGATCAAGATGTCAACATTTGCCCAGGGATAAAGCTCAGAAGGCAGCAAGGGATAGAATAGAAGGATGAATGGAAATGGTAGACACAGCAAGTAAATGAGAAGAGTGCTGGTACATCGTGGGGATTGCAGTGAATGTCACAAAACAAAATGTATATAAATTGTTGAATGTGAAACTAATTTGCTATGTAAACTTCCAGCAAAATCACAGAATTTTTTTAAAAATAATAATAATAATAGGAAGGTACCCGCTACCGGTAGTCACCATTTCCCAGGGCCATTACATGAGGAGTCATTGAGGTCGCTTCCAGCTCAGTGTGGGGAAGAGTCGCTTAGGACAAATCTCTAGGCCCAATAGCCCATTGTCTTGTCCCCTCTAAGACAGGAATTCTAGGTAAGTGCACATATTCTCCAGGCAGAATAGAGGAGGAGCGGCAGTCAGCATTGCAGCCAAGCCCGGCAATTACAGTTTCCATTCCTAGCCTGGTTCACACCCTTGTACCGTCAGAATGCCCAAAACAAGGCTCTGTGCCAGTGCGCGACTGAAGCACCACTGTAACCAGGTCAGGTTGGGGCTCTGTGTGGTCCCACCATTACCTTGGGCCCCCAGAATGAGCCATCCTGCCATGCCAACCCTGCTTGTCACAAAATAATGTGTGGGATGATTCCAGATTAAAACTTTCTGTGCAGTTTCCTAACCATTAAGCCAGTTATCATGATAGTGGTCAGGGAGAACATACAATACAAAAATAGCCACTACTACACTAAACACCCAGTACAATCCTGATTCTGTTAAAAATGGTCATTTGTATTAAGGAAAGGCTGGGAAAAAAATATCAAGTGTGTTCTCACGCAAGGAACTGTACATTCCGGTAAGAACCAGGATCAGCACAAAGCTAGTTCTTATGAGGTGGAAGTCAGACACACCTTTGCCCTCTAACTTTTTCAGCAGTTCCGACACCAATCGTCCTCCCACATGGCAGTCTCTTCTTTCCCTGCTGAGTTTGATGATAACTGTTGCAACGGCCACACAGAAGTCACAGACCATACTCACAGTTACGTGGTTTATTAGGGAAGCAGTCGGCTAAAACTTGGGATCAGCATCCACTGGAAATAACAGGAACAACTTGGGCTCAGGATCAGAAAGCCACATAGGTGAGGTCTGCAAGGATTCCCTGAAGTGGTGAACGCATAACCTTCCTCCCTTGTGCAGGGCGGTGAAGCTCTCGGCTCCTCTTGGCTATGAAGCAGGCAGCCCCATCTCTTGGCCATTCACGCATCTGCTCAGCTGTGCCCCTCCCACTCTTGACCCCTCAGGACAAGCCTCCTCTCAGTCATGCTGGTCCCTCATTGACCATGCATGCACCCTCCTGGCCACGAAGGTACGGTGATCTGTACCACAGAAACTGCTATAGATGCCTTCCTTTCTTTTGCCATCCTTCCCTGGGGCTTAATCAGTTTTCTGTAGACACTTTCTGGTGGCACCTGTCAGAAGCATTTAAAAACATATACTACCATGGAAGGAAGGTTGGGCAATCCTACTTCCGTAGCGATACTGCCTCGGAAACCCAAGGAGGGGTCGCTATGAGTCGGGGCCGACTCGACGGCACATAACAACAACAACAACACTACCATGGACACTAGGGAGCTATCAAAAATGGAGTAAGCAGCAGATGGACCCAAGTGAATGTGAAGGTGAAGGTTCAGAAGGAGGACCTTTGGGAAGTAAACGTTTTGAAATATTATCAATGCACCATCTGCACCTAGTTCTTCATGCATGCTCAGAAAGACCCAAGAGGAACCTAGACTTGAAGCTGTATCCCGTCTTTGCAAGAGGTAGAGGACAGGGTAGAGGTGGAGGCTGCTTTAGATAAGCATTGGAGCTGTTACCCAGCTCAACGGTAACCTAAAAATACAAAGACAGAGTTTATTTTGTTTTGCTTTGATTTCCTTTCCAGTGTGAGTTGTTTATCTCATGACTCATCTCTAGGAAAATAGATCATCAATTCAGTGACCATACACAAGAAATAGTCTTTTAAAAAGTTTTGCAATAAGTAAAAATTGTGTGATAGATCTATTGGCAACAACAACAACTACAACATAATAATAAGAAGAAGAAAAAGAGTAGCTACTGAGGTTGCTTATGGATAACCAAACACCTCCTGGGATTTGATTTCTTGATTTCAAGTTTTAGGGTCATGGTTTCATGAGACATTCCAATTAATTTGCCTACTAATATATTTAGTGCTTCTATTCTACCTACTCTGGTAGCATAGTGCCTAAGGCATCTGACTACTAATTGGAAGGCTGACGGTTCAAACCCACCAGCCAGTCCTCGGAAGGAAGGTTGGGCAATCTACTTCCGTAGTGATATTGCCTCGGAAACACAAGGAGGTCACTATGAGTCAGATC